CAATGGCACACTGGACAGTTTGAAGTATGCTTCAATTTTATGTTCCCAACACTTAATATTTGTGATCACTTGATAAGTTATCTTGAAAGTATGGTCATCTTTTCATGTTTAATATGATAAAGTTAATTTTAGGTAAATTAAATACAGTGGCCACTCCAACCAGATATCATTAATTTATTTAGTAATGATTTCTCTTTCAAGTTACCAATTTTTACTATAAGGTAATGCATTATAATCTGTTGAAAATAGCGGATGGGTTGCTAAACAAGGTATGAAATAACTGAATAAACCTTCTATAGGTTTAAGGTTATTAATAACTTCATATCTAGTTGTTTTTGGTAATAATGTTTTGTTGTTGCATTTGGAATTCCGTCAATAAAAGTGTCTATGCACAATAACAAGCAACTGGCCTATAGTCTGCATTCGTAGTCACTAAAGTGTGGACTACAACATGATTTTTTGTCATTATTAATTTTTTATTCACTGAAAAGCCTGAATACTACAGTGGTAATGTTTCTGTTTATGATATTAGGTGACACAGGTTCTAATGTTTGTAGATGAGCTCTGTTGAGGATTGCCAATCTGAAAGAAACCTGAGTTTAAAGGATCTAACTGATCACAACCAACCACTGTTACATTACATAAAATGCATTCGAATATAAAGTCAATACATTTCAGGAAATTATATTCAAATCTTTTGCTGATTGCTGCAAAAATATTTAGTATCAATGGGACGTTGTGCTCTTTAAAGCATACATGAATTTAGTCGTGTAATCAAGTGTTATTTAAGTATGAAACGTCTAATAAGGTCTCCGGTCTGTACGATGACTTCCCAGATATGGTTTAGAGTGCCAGATAGTATTACCATCACTTTTATAAGTATTGTAGTCCAGAGCAAATAACGCAAACCTGTATTTGAAAAATGAGTCAATTTACCACTCATTTTCTGTTCATCTTCTCTACGTACCACAATATCTAATCAGTAATGAAGTAACCTAATCTGATTATTTTCAAGCTTATCCGAAATTTGGTGCCTACAAAAACAAACATTACATACCTTGAATAAAATAAGAAATATAAAATCATTTGTTTCCTACTGAACTAGTTTTTGGTGAAAGATAGTCAGCGTAAAATAAAGGCTTCAAATGGGTTAATGTAGATTATGATGAAATTCGAGAACTTATTTCGTTTATTATCCTCTAAAAATAAAATCAAGGGATGAATTAGAAAAGAATTAAATGAATGTGAGATAATTATTCATAAGTTGTAATCGATAGTTGAAGATCCTAAATCGTAGTGAACGGTTAATTGTAAATTTTTGTAAGAAAATACTGAAGTATTTACTTAAATAGTATTTAATCTATTAGCACATATCAAAACAGATGTAGTATCAGGTATATGGTTAGAAGTAGTTGGCAGGAAACTCCAAACCTAGATTTTTAACCAGTTGGAACACATGAAGAAAAGGTACCCTAATCCTTAGGAAATGATGGTTTTTAAGAGATTTATGCCAAAATTTTAAATTGAGAAGCTGATTATCCTCAACTACTTGTCAAAACATGGTGTACAGAACGTCAGTGCGCCATTAGATAAATTTTGATCGGCATTATGGAGCAGATACATATAGCGTCAGTTGCTGTACAGTGATCGTTCAATGTAGGAACACTCTCTAAAGTGTGGGTAGTAAGGTGGCATTAATCATTTGTTAGAATAATTTGATTTCTAAACAGCTCACTATTTTATGTGCACTTTATTTAAGCGTAACTAATATAGAATTTTATAAGGTATGATATTTATTGTTATCTAGAACGCTGTACAATAGTGCGTCTGGATATAACATGGTGGTTGAAAGTAGTCAACTGGAAACCCTGGACCTAGGTTTCGTGCTACTTGGCACTCGTCAGCAAAGTGTACCTGTAATTTTGAGGGAACTTATGCTCCCTGACGGATTCGATCTCGTGTCAGCCAGCTTCACAGTCAGAGACGTTACCACGGTTTCCTGTTTGCTACCTCCAACCATCATTTTGTTTCAACATAGTGCCTGGAATGTCGGGTCACCTAGACTGGTGACCACATTGCAACGTGGTCGATAGGATTCGATCTGCACTAAGAAGGACCTGACATACATGGCACTGATCACCACCCAGTGATCAATCAATTGTAAAAGTACGTCTAGATATTTTCTTTTTTGATAGAGATATAATTTCAATAACTAACACGGTACATACAATACTCTTTAGCATATGAGCTTGTATATAAATAATTAGGTGAATGCATTCCTTTCTTTATGCTCTAATTAAACTGGTTGTTTAAAATGACATTGTTAAATTATAAATGTAAACCAATGCGTATTAAGTTGTAAAATTTCACTTAACTATATAATATAGTCAGGCAAGAGTTTACATTCCAAGACAAACGTGAAAATTTATTTTATTTAACCAGGAAAAAAAAGATATTTTATTTAAAATTTCTGCAGTTCTAGAAGAATTACTTTATAAATGGCGAAAACTACTCGGAGTTCGAGAAGAAAGCCATATGCAAAAGTACGATTCGATAATATACCATTACAGTTAAGTGAAATGCCTGGTATGTTTCGAATGTTTTTTTAAAGAAAAGCTGTTGTAATATATTAGAATAGTCTTTTGGCAGATTTCTAATCATTAATGTGTTAAAATTACTAATTAGAAACCAAACACTTATGGGGTTAAAGACTGATATTTAATTAAACTCATTATCATACATCTTAAGTTAACCCTTCTTTATATACATGAAAATTTGGATTGTGAATATTATGAAGTAAGATAATCAATTATGATAATATTCATCGGTTCTAAGTAAATAATACTGAAATAGTTGTTGAATAAAACGTGTCTGTAGAAATCCTAAATGGAAGTAACAATGCCGTTTATAGGTACATGAGAAATATGTGAAGAAACATTATTGGTCACTGGTATAGTTATTAATTGTAGTCAGAAATTGTTATTACATGAGTCATTATTGAAAACCTCTTAGAGGTAAATAACGCTAAAAGTTAAGCAATATCATAAAATATATCAAATTATTAGTCTTAGTAACTTTAAAGCTGGATTTAGTCATTACTAAATAAAATGAATAAAATGAAATTTATACGACTGCCAAATTTTCGAATGTTTCATAGATCAGTGTGTTCACTTTATTCAACAACAACAAAATAATCAGAGAGAGGTTTTATGGATATTATAGTAATTTAGTAGTTGAATTCATCAGTCAATTGAAGATAGACCATCATGGAAAACCTGTCCGTCCAGTGCTTCCAGGTTTTCCATGGTAATCTACCTTCAATTGACTCATGAATTCAACTACTAAACAACAAAACACTTCATAATTTATTCAATTTTAATAATCTGATTTCTTTTCATTATTTAGATTGTCAATGAAAGTTTCTTATAAGTGATTAATCTATGCACACATTGTTGATCAATTGATTTCATTATAATATCGTACCGTTGTATTATATTTTTCCATAAATTAAATCTTAACTGACGACAGAATATACGCAATATATTGCATATCTGATATAGAGCTAAAATATCATCATTTTAACTTCGCTACCAAGCATATTTCGCGTAGTGACTGATGTGGAATACCTTATATCTTGTTTCATGAGCTGAAACGCATTATAGTTATTAATTGTTTGAACATGAGACCAATCTGAACGACTTTAACAAACTAATAAAATAGTTGTGATGTTTTGGGTTTTTACGTTGTTGATGTTTAAGACTGAATTTTGAACTGGTTACTTTGATATTGACTTTAGTTACAGGATTTAGTATAGTTAAAATGTGTCTAGCAGCGGAATCTAATACACGGACATTAGTCCATTTGAGAATCTTCAGCTAGATGCATTCCTACCCTGATTTATTACCTATTATCAATAATGTCATTACATTCTTCAACGGGTAGAATAGTGAATAATAGATTGGTTTTGAGTTTCACTATGAACATCAATACTGAAACAGAGGTACATCCATACATAGAGTTCAAAATAGGACTGTGTAGGAGATCTGGATCTCAGTGTTAACTGAAATTCAACTAAACTAAAACTTCTAATTGAATGTTTAGAAATGTATTGAGTGTAAAATTGTAAATTAAAATATTATTCATGATTCCGAGTTTTTCATCTAATCATTAAACTTAACTGCATATCTGATGCAACAACTGTCAAAACTTATCCTTATATATATAGATATAAATATAGATTCTTCTATAATACAAAAAAGTATTAGACTTCTATAATTTCATTATTTAGATGTTATAATCTTAATTACTATCATGCTTCCTATTTCTCACAGAATATATTCATTACTTATATCAACTTTTTGGAATGAACGGATTTATTTATGTGTATTTATTGTTACAAAGGTTATTAAAAGCACTAGATAGATGACTGAACAATAGAAACGTCCGAACTTATCTTTTAATTAGTCAAATAATGTATATCACGCAATTGATGAGTCACATCAGGTTGAGACACTATTCTAATTAGTTATTTGAACATTTTGCTTTTTCTAAGGTCGATTTAATGTTTATTTAATAAGATTAGTACTTTTATTCATTCATGATATAATATTCAGCATCGATATAATAAATAAATAATACTGTTCTAGAAAAATCAATGGTTTGACTTTGAAACGATATATGCTTATAGGTAGATGAAGTCCCGTATGCGGGATCGTGTATGCGATCTTCTGAGTAGTCTTATATTAAAACAAAGCGGCCATCCGGATCTTCCAGGTTTCAATATTGATCGAAATATATTTACACCTGCCTGGTTCAATTCATTTTAAACGGAATAAATACAGGTAGTAACATTACCATCAAAGTTTCGTGTTTTGTTGCCAATTTAGTGAGAAAACATTACTGTTTATGAATCAGTGTTTCATTTACATTTTTGTTGTTTTTTCTAAGAAAGGTTGTATGACATTTATATTCCAATTAATTTCTGAAACATTTCTTTGCAGCTCCATCCACGAATAGTGTTAGGAATGGATCAGCAATCTTGCAGTTATTATTGGCAAATCGTGATAGTATTGCGTAAGTATGTGTTTTAAAATAAACTTTTGTGATTTACAGTATACTTTATTTACTTACCTATCCTACTCATTTTAATATAAATATTAATGATTAGTGAATAGTTGAATAATTCAAGGAATTTATTTATACATTGAGTCTTCAATCATCCTAATATTCCAAGCAGCGGTTTCATCTGATCTATTCTTTGCTTACATTCTCTGTTAACAATGTAAAAAGTGCAACAAGGTTAAATTTTTTTCTCAATACTCAAGTTCACAAATGTCATTTGAAATTGATCTAGTAATGAATATTCTGTCATGATCTCTTTAAGTAGTGGTGAAATTTGAATGATGTTAGTATTTATTAGCTAATACCATCTATTTAATACATAAAATCAGAAAATAATAAATTTATGTAATAGCAATATGATGTGTTAATTGTTACCTGGGAAAATTAGCTTAAATGGTAAAGTGCTTAAAAACATCTCTCCATATGAGTGGGTTATTTCAATTAGTTTAACTGAAAATGAAACGGTCTACATAAATATATGCTTTACGGAAACTACTGTGTTAGAACAGTGTACCTATTTAAAATTATTATTTATTTTGCTGAGTTTTAAACAAGATTAAACCTGGTTTTCATATCTATGTAACATAAAATGAGTCATCACAATTATTTTGATGCGGTTTAATAGACTATGTATTTAGTTTTTCTATGAATGATTACGTTCAATTCATAATGTATATACCATAATCAAAAAGTAAATGTGATGTATTTTATCCATGGCTTGTTTGTACTTTTTATTTCTCATAAATGAATATCATTAGTTTTTTATAAATTTCTCATGCACTTGAAGCTCTAATAAGTTACGACTTAATTAGGCCGCCTACAAAGTATCTCCAACATACTCTGCCCTGGGCTTTCCTTTCTAGCTGTTGCCAAGTACGACCCATCCTTTTTATGTCTGTCTTCACTTCCATATGATGTGTTCGTTGATTTTGCTCTTTTCATTTTGCGTCGAGGACTCCAAGTCAGGGTTTGCTTTGTCTGATAACTTCCGCAGTGGGTATCCTATTCAACTCCAGCGTCATTTCCTGATTTCCTCCTGATCTGGAAGTAGGTTTGTTCCCTACCATAATCTGCATTTGCTGATAGTCTCTGGCTTATGAATCTACAATATCTTTCGTAGACTAATTTATGTAAAAATGTTTTATTTGATCAACTCTCTCGTCTATCTAAAAGTTAAGATCAGGAAAAGTGTTTGCTAGAGTTCAATTTATAAGCTTTAGGATTCATCAAGACATTACCGATTTCGGAAAACCTAAACAACGACAAAATCCATCTGTCAATGTTCAGAAAAACTCACAGTACACAGCAATAAATATTTCATCAATTTTGCTACACTCAGTGATGCAAAATGCAACAGTGACTGATATCAAGTCCATAGCTTCTTATATGAATTCAAACTGATTCCTACAGAAAGATTATTCACTTAAAATGTCAATATGAGCTTGTTCGTTGTTTACGCATTACAAAGCGAATTCATCTTCTCTATCAGTGAAACAGATATGTTTTTTTAACACTGTTCAGGCTAACCTCTAAGTATCACTAGTAGAAAACAATGGACAAGTCTAGGTAGTATGTATATAATATCATCTTTCAAAGCAAACAAGTCAAAATATAATTTCTCAAAGATGTCACACTGAGTATTTGTTAAAATGCATTTATACGCACCAATTAAATGATTTTATTTGTTCGCTTAAGCCAGTGCAACTTTCATGCATATAAAATATTTGGTCAGCTAAAGTACTTTAGCACGCATTGTTATTCGATAAGTCATCTTCCAATTGCTGCACAATTAAAAAGTGTCCACCGTTGCAGCTGTAGTAAATCAGAACATTTTTTAATCAATATGCCTTACTATTAAGTCTTGTTTCCGTTTCACTTATTCTAGCTTTACCATGCAATTTAAGTGAATATGCTTTAAACAAACGTGGATTCATTATTGTTAAGAAACCGTAAACGGTTAAAGAAGAAGAGTTAATTTAGAGTAATTATTGCAAATTATTAAAACGATCTTTCGATAATTCGAGAAGTAAGAAATATTGATTGAAACTCTTATTTCTGCCAATGGACACGGACCACTTTGTAGAAAATATTAATCAGAATTTACCAAAATAACTAATAATTTCCAAGCCAATCGGTTAAAGATGTCGTGATCACTACCAGACATTAAGTTCTTGGCATCATCCGTGATCTTCTTGTTAAATCTAATATCACGAAACTCGAATTCATGTAGAGTCGAATACAGGAAAGGTGTCTTGAAACTGTTATTACATATATTATTATTTAGTGGATTTTCAGCAACCAACAGATCCTGACAAGAATTACAAACTTCTCATTCGGCTATTCTGATGTAGTAATAAATAATTGTGTGCTTAGAAATACTGTTATAAATGACTTATTGGAACCATAGTTTTATAAGTTGTTTTATGTAAATTTTTCCTATCATTTCTCAGACGAAGTAAATCCATGTTTTTTTGGCTTAATTCAGTTTAACTAGGAGAGTTTTAAATACCGATTAATCGTTACGGTTTGTAAGGCTGAGTATTATGTCCGACTTTTAACCTTGATCAAATCATTACAATGAATATTGCAAAAAAAACGGTCTTTTGAAAACTAAATCATTTGATACATTAAACAAGCATTAACTTATTCATGAATTGAACAATTTGCTTTAAAAAAAATGGATTACGACTTTGTCATTTCAGTTAATTTTCAGAACCAAAATATTCACTAATGGCGAATTATTGATCTGGATTATAAACTGTATATTTTTCATATGATATGATCAAAATCCAAATAATATTTTACATATGCTATTTTCTTTACATTCATTCATTTATTCAAACAATATATCCTGTAATTAGTTGTATACAGCAGTTGTTTAGTCTATAGTATAAGACTGTTACGCAATAAACATACATTGTCTGTTAGATTTCGTTGAATTTGCATTATAAGTAGGTTGATACACATGAATTGATGTTTTTGAACAATCGTATGTGGTGGTCAAAGCCTTAACACTGATCTCATATCAAGACAATTACATATGACTATTACTAACAAATATACACTTTATTTTAATTATGATAAGTACAGGTATATAAGTTGGCGTTTATGCATAATACACTTGTATTCCATAACCAATCTACAATTTGTAAAGAAATGCGGTAGAATAAATAAAGATACTATATATACATGGACAAGATAAAAATGCTTCCATTTCACTTGAATTCATTTATCATATTGAGTAACATAGATATTTACCGTTTTCTAAAGACACTAAGTAATAACAAAAGTGTTTTAGAAAAGTCACTTATATACTTAGCATGAAATTGTAAGTAATAGTAATAATAATTTACAAATGAATCGAGATACGATCTTCTTTCCCTATAACTGCTCAAAGTTTCTATGATTGGGCTTAGAATTATATTTTATTAAGGATATACAAGGTCTGAACATTTAGATTATTCTGTATGCCTTATTTTCAGATTCATCAATTATATTCAGTAGTCGTTCTGAATTGTTATGCATTCATAATGCTGTAAAAAATATTTATATTTTGTAACATAAAGAATTATAACTTGCTAGAAGATTTACACGTTTAAAGTTGGTATCCTTTTCGGGCTAAAGTAAATAATTTTCAATTGAGAAAGGACATTTCTGTTTGAGTCTGAGCTATTGTTTTGCTAATTTGGAAGTGAATTCTGTTCATCACTTATTCAAACGTCTTTTTAGTCATATATTTTAGGATAAACTAAACTTCTTAAGTTTGATCTGTAATAATTTTGCCTTCTATTATGATATTAAAATAATTTTTATGTGCATTCATTTTCGTTCTTGTGTGTAATTAATTCTTTGACAGGGATTTGGATACCACCAACTTGCCTAGAATGATTGCACTTCAAAGAGGTCCGAATGGTTTTGGATTTGTTGTACGTGGTAAAAAAGGTGGGCAAATCATTGAATAGGAATTAAATTGCAATGTTTTACTTTTTGTAACAATTTATAAACTATTCAGTTGTTTTTTCTGAGTGAAAAAATACCTCAATGAAAGTTGTACCATGATTACTCATAGTCAAATATATAATTCGAATGTGCACTCTAGAGTTGGTTACTCGCATTCACATACATTAATTTTTGACTGAAAACACTCGAACGAAAGATAGTCATCTAAACTAACATTAAGGTTCTCTGTGGGTCTTAATAAGTTAATACAGGAGCAGATTATGTTTGTTGCTTATTTAAACTCATCAGAGATTAAAATTTATTTATGAGTCTACGACACTGCCAGTTTGACAATGTTTTTGTCAGAGATTTTGGTGCTAAGTTTAGATATTTTTTCACTGAATAACTTTTGTTTTAGTTCTTTAGACTAGAATACTCATCGGTACTCAAAATATTGACTCGGTATTAATCATGACATTAACGAGTAATAAATATATTTGTATATATGTGGAAATGTATACATGTAAATACTAATATTCTTAACTAATTTCTTTCTTAGGATAAATTGAGACCACTGTTATTTTTACAATATTCTTCTTACATTCAACTTCATTTGTTTTATTGAATTTCGTCTACGAAACGTCGACTGTCAAGTTGTTTTATTTTATGTTATCAGATGCTTTAGTTTCTATGCTCCTTTCAATACATCAGTCTGCAATCGAAAATAAACGAATAACATTTTAAAACTCGATGGGAATCGCATTTTTCACCTATTCGTTCTTATTTTCCTAAAGGCGATAACGACAATAATGATTACTATTAGAACGTGGCTAACATTCTTTTCATAAAATCACATATACATAGAGTATATTGGCTAGTTCAGGTGAGGCGTTACCCATTACTTTTTCCCATAAAAAGGATAGTACTCGTGAGTCATACATATGTGGGCGTAGCCTCTTAAACAAATTCCTGTATAGACATAAACGTATACAATCAATAATTTATTAGTAATCCGATTAATAGTTATCTCTTGTAAGTCATTAAGTTTGTTACTTTAGTAACATTCCATAAAAATATGCTTATTCACTGTTAATTTGGAGATACCTGTCATTCTTTCCTGTCAAAGAAACAATTTTTAAAGTTTTAAAATACCAATTGCGTATTACTATCTTGTTAAATGTCCTAAACTATGGTCTAATTGTAAAGAATATGTTACATAAGCTAATATTGGAAACTTCAAATTTATATATAACTAAATAACGATAAATCCAGTCTTTTATGTAAACCGGAATTCAAGCGCTGTTAGAAAAAAGTTGGAATTATTAATCATCCCTTTACCTTCATATTTGAATGGGAAATACATTTTCCGTTTTTTTGATCAATTAAACAAGTTGTTTGTCACAGATTATTGTACTTATTTTAATCACGAAAACAGTCAAATTAAAAAGAATATACTAGATAGCTCAAATTAGTCAACTGTGTACAAATCAATATCAGACTGTAACGTCTTTAACAGTTACCACTCATAAATGGTTGTTTTACACAAGGTTTGTTTTAGTAAGTGTTTTAAAGCAAATCCATATATGCAATAAGAAAATATGTGATTGGGTTTAAACAGCTTATTCAATCATAGGTTAGTGCAAGTGAAACAGCACAACACAAAGTAAATACTTTTCATAGATATCAAGCCAAAGCCATCAATTCTTTAACCTAGAACTCATTTGTCTTCAACCTGTACAGCTATATGATCAAAAATATTGTATTACAATGCCATGTATGTTACGGTATACGAAGAAAAGTTGATTGACGTCGGTGAAATAAACTGAAAATGGTGAACTTACTCATCAGTTACTTTTGAAGTGCTTATTATTAATAAAGTCAAAAGCTTAAACAAAAAGAGAGAATTATTCACTTTGAGTTGATATTAGTAACATATGGTCATATCAAATTAGAACAAATGTCTTTAGAAAATCTTTCAAATTTCATAAACCATTCTATCCAAATTCTTTTTTTGCTAAAATTAATCTAAATTGAATTTACCAGAATTACTCTGTGAACGATTAAACTGTGAATAATGTGTAATAATCTTTGGCCTTTTTGTATAGGAATATCTGGAAATTTTACACCATGTCTTGAGTGTCCAGCATCACAATACCTTGAGAAAGTTGAACCCCATAGTGCAGCAAGCAAGGCAGGTTTGAAAGCAGGTGATTTTATATTGGAGGTAAGTTAAATTTTAGTGTCAAATATGTGGTTGAGCTAATACTAAGCTTTTAAGCATTACTAATTACTTATCGAATAAGCATACTTAGACTGGTATCAATTAGTATTTAGTGAATTAACCTATTCATTTAATTTCACTCAAACTAATGTATTTTAAAATCATTTTTTAACCAAATATCTGAAGCAGAAAAAAGAATAATAAACGTATTTCACAGAAAACCAATCGATTCTAGTAACCTTTAGATATCACGTGCGAACGCCTAATCTCTAGACCACGCAATACCATAGGTCGACTGAAGTTAAACCTTAACATTGCCGGATCAGTGGTCAAAAGGTTAAGCGTTTGCGCGCGTGTTCGAAAGTCCCGTGTACGAGTCTCACGTGCGCGATCGTGGATGTGAACTGCTGACGTATCCCGTTCTAGGGTGAAACGGTCCACCGGTGCTTGTAGGTTTTCGATTCGCGAATTCAGCTGTTATATTTTCATGTTTTGTTTATGTAATTTTGGAACCTGTGTATTCCAGCTGTTGTTATGATGGAGATCATTTGAAAATGCAATTTAAGTCATAAATCTGAATACTACCTCTTAGATACGAACATTATTACTGTTAAGGCTATAGTGATATTAAACATGAAGCAAATTTGAATGAATAGGTATGAATGCAAGTATTTATACTTTTCATACAACGTTCTAAGAAACGACTGTCATGAACTTGGAAAGTTGGTTAGAGAATGTTTGTTTAATATTGAATTTCTTCAGTATGAGATAAATGTTAAACACTCAAATTTATCGTTCAAGGATTTATGTTGTTTTAGTTTAGCATGGAAATGTTATTTTTCAGTTCACTTGTTCGAAAACGTTAAGATTCTAGGAACATTGTAATTAACATCAATCTCCCATGAAAAATAATCAAAAGTAACTGCAAAGGGGATATATGTGAAATTTCAGCGAAAAAATATTTTTTAAAAGAAGGCAGGTAAATAACACTTTCAGTTTACTCAGAGTTTCATATCAAACGCTGACAAAAAGTCTTCAAACCATACCTTAGAAAAATTGGTCATATCAAAAGTCTAACGGGCTTCATAAAGCTCTATGAATTCATTAGCTAATTACATTTACAGCGTTCGTTTTTCAACAGAAGTACTTGACGTGCAATACTAATTTTCGTGAAAAAAGTAACATCGTCCGTCAAAATTAACAGTAAACTAAGTTATTTCTTATCGTAAATACTAGTGAAATTTTTTTGAAAGATTGATAATCACTTTTGGATGGATGGTTGCACACGTACTTATAAACAAACAGAACACTATTCACTTTCAGTATTTTTAAAATGTTTTTCTTACATGTTACTGATTTATAAAGAAATAGACACTTTTAGTATGCTTCAATGCCATCAACGAACATTTAAAAGGTTGAGTAGAAACCGTTAATTCATCCTACTTAGAGAGATCTCACAAAAATTACGTCATTATGATGATTTGCTTTTACAGTTTTTAAAGAATCTCTGTACACCAGCAGTTATAGCCATGAACAAAGTGGTTGCTTAAAAGTCATCATAAAATACATTGTTTGGGTAGCATTTATCGGTAATATGCAAACAATTACATGTAGTCCGTTCCTGGCATTACTTAAATAACTAATAAAATTGGAAATCAAATGGAAGGTATATTAAAGTCTTTGAATTTCTTTATCTTGAAGCCTCAAGATGAGTAAAATACTGATTTTGACTACAAATATCAACAAATTTTGGTTCTTTTTATGTCGCTTATCAACCGTTTGGTTTGTTTAGGTTTAACAGTACGTGTTTAGTTACTGTTTTTAATATAAGTAGTATAAAATTATATCGATCTTGTGTTATTATCAGAATATTGGGGGAAATAAATGGAAATCCAGAAAATTATTGCAAAACGTTTAACAACATCCTAAATACACTGTAAATTCGGCACCTACACGATAATCCAGATGGTTGGACCGCAGTTGTTTTATTCGAATTTCACATCAAAACAGTTACTGAGGACAATGATGGGATTTTTCAGAGAATGGTAAAGTGACTGAACATGTATAAGCAGATTTTTTACTATTAGTGATTATTAATTTAATTACTTCGTTTCAGTTAAACAATTCACAGTGTCGACCGCGTAATACGTTTCTGGCCGTAAAAGATGAAATTCATCGGTTTGCTGAACAATATATTATTCTTCCATTACCTGTCGTTCAATGGTATGGATAAGTGTTGTTATTTGATAGGTTATCAGTAGAAGAGAATATCCATGTCTGTGTTGCTGTTGTTCCCATGGTACTTCAAGAGTGTTTTTGACACCGACGAAAACATTTCAATACCGTATCCCGAAAAACACCAATCTTATTTGCATAATGTGAATAACATTTTCGTAAAACACCAGTTCATTTATTTATAACTATTTTATCCTTCTTTCCTTCAGGTAAATAATATCAACGTTACTACAATGTCACATGAAGCTGTTGTCTCACTTATTAGAGGTTCCAGTGATATTTTAGGTCTAAAAGTGATAACTGTTGACTCTGATCAAATTAATTCAACTCCCAAATTATCACATCAATCCGCAAAAAGTAAGTGATAGTTTTAGACAATATTCATACTATTTTTCCCGTTATTTTGGCCATACTGATATTGTTTTAGTCTGAAAGATGCAAATAATTTGTTTATATGCATACATAATAACTTATATTTCAAGAGTATTATCTTACAACCAAGTAATCGAGAGTGACAGAAGGAAAATTCATAATAAATAATCTACCTAATTTTCACTTGTTGTTTGCTGATTTGGATTTCTGGTGGATTTACATTTTAAAATATTCAGACATTTACAAACAATTGCATTTTTTATAAGTCTGTAAGCAAACTGGCGTAATATATCATTCATTCTACTCATAAACTCTATGGACTTCTGTTGTTACGGGTAGTATCCAAAATCTGATACTGATACACAGTGTGCTACGCGATAACTTCCCAACTGACTACGTGAGCGAGAACACAAGAGTGAGAGATACAGTGTATTGGGACACTGAATAAAATGCACGAAGACTCATCTATATGTATACCACTCTAATCCATAGGATATTTATCCATTTCTTTGCCAATGAAGTGCACTTGTCTTTTAGGTCATTTCTGATTGTCATTGGTTGAACTTCTCATTAGGCTACTTCTGATCGGCTCTCTCTATATCAACTTCGATATGAACGAATACTCATATACGCTTAGAACGAACGGTCTGACTTATGGTTTTGAGTAATATACATTTGTTTCATGAATGCATATTATGTGAATATTATAAATGAGACGATGCACTATTTTCGTTAAATTTTGATTACCTGAATAAACAGCGCTATACTTCCGTTTCCATCGTTATAATTTAATAAATTGTTCCAATGACAGAGGATTTCTTTATTTCCTGTCATTTTCACACTATTTTCAAACTCATTCTTGATCAATAAAGTATTCATAATGAAAATTTCCTCTATAGGTAACAAATTTTACGAATCTTCAGACAACATTTACAGTTCAAAAGCAAAAAAGTCCAATTATGAGGATAAGTTTTCAAACAAACATTGTGACTCTGTAGAAAATCATTGGCCTAGGAACACTGAAAATGCTTACAAAACCATTTGTAGAGACTCATTTTATAGAAATCAGAATAATTTCTCAATACTATTAGAAAACTCAACAAATAAATCTTCGTCCAATGATTTTATCTGTGGAGAAAAATTAAAGTCTCTTCGACTAGATCCCAGTCCATCGGTATCCTCAATGGACGTACCTTCATACAGAACACCAGCCCCCGCACCACCGTCTAGTAAACCAGTTCTAACAACTGGAGCTTTATCTAAAAGTGTATTCCAAAATGGACCATATTATAAAAAAGCAGAATGTAATCTGACTATTAGCTTAAAGGTAAGTATATTAATTAAGGATTCGATAGTTTTATTAGTATTGATAATTTTATGCTCTACGACTAAATGTATCTTGCTCGCTGGTTTTTCAACTTTAGAATCCTAAAAATTATGTAAGGTTCCGATCGATGTTCGTTTTATGCGACAATTCGATTTAGTCATACATTTACTAAATGCGTCGGAACTGGTGTATTTAGTGTGCAGACTCAAACTCCTAAATATGAAAAAAAAAGCCGAGTTAGTGGAATATTTGTGTAAAACTCCATTAAAGGAAATATCTTTACACATTTGAGTAATCTAATATTTAAAAAGTAAGGACATAATGGCTTTGCTGACGTGAGGATTGTGTTCTCATCAGACAACAATAAAAATATAATACAAATTGCAGAATCTGCTGAAATCTCAGCAATTTTTAGAGACCAGAAATGTTGAATAATCAGTGATTAAAAACAACTGGAATAATAAATTTAATAGAAATTTGAAGTAATAATGTACTTAAATGTAAATTCAATTGGAACTTACAACGATTAAGAATCGAATGGAAACTATATATCACTTAGGAACTAATTTGTGGTTATTTTAAATACTCATTGACCGCCACTCGTTTACGGGTTTTTAGTCTGTAGTTTCAGTGAACTCTAAAATATTTATTTTCATCAAACTACCTGTTTATGTAAAAGTGAACTGCCCACCAGTGATTGTTTCTTGATGGTTTACAGAAATATCAATAATGAATCCTGAAATTTTGTGTGAACAGTTTCAGAAGTGTGAAATTTATTTTCAAAACATAAGACGCAAACAAGGTGTATGAAAAAACAGAATTTTTGAAAACATTTGTCATTAAATTCAGGAGTACAGATAATAAACTCTCTTTGAGAATCCAGATTTTGAAGTTTAATCCTTGCGTTGTAGGACAAAACTAGCATTCAGCGTCCTCTAGTTTTTAGTGGTTTTTAAAGCGACGTCAGTTGATCAATTAAAATTCCTTGAAGCTGAATGAAAACCTGTACTGAGATAAGACTGAAGACAAATAGTGAATATCTGAATGCTATAATTACTGCTTCGTAGGGCAAGATTGCCCAAAATATTTTCTATCAAATGAAAACTGTCGAAATATTTTCTTGAAAACCTGATTTTAGATGTATATTCATCCTAAAGTCTTCTTACATCTTGAGCCATGTACTTTATGTTGTGATGTTGTTTGACAGACTTCATCATCAATAAAAGGATCGATAAGCAAAATCGTTAGAGGCTTTGAGTTGGTGCTTTAGTAAATAGGTAGTCTTACGCCTGAACTGATCTCCTTGTCACTGTAGCCATTTATATTGTGGTTATCTGTTATTTGTAATTAAAATTAAATCCTTCATTTTAGCTTTTTATGATTAGAACTTTGTTTAATCTCTTCTATTTATAGCAGATATTTTATCTTCTCAGTATTATTTAATGTGAGTCCTATGTTTTTTAGTCCAGGCCAACACTCTCAGAAAAAACTTTCGATTCTGTAAATAAACCTGAAAATTCTTTATCCTTTGATCATCCACCTCCTCCAACTCCACCTCCTATATCTTCTAGCAGCATAAATTTAATACCATCTCCACCGCCACTTATGACAACTCCAAATAAAACGTCTTCCAGTATAAACTCTGAATTGCCAACAGGTATTCTGAAAAAGACATCACATGATAAGTTTTCAGAAAGTATTAAACCGTCTAAAAATTTAGAAGATGCTCGGAACCAGGATATTTGGTCAGATCAGCTCTTACTCCCTCCACCCCCGCCTCCAGAGGAATTTGAATTAAATGTTACTGAACCGGCGACTCGGCACTCTAATTGCCAACAGAATTCTAATGGTTATAACATTAATAATCATACTGCTTACAAAACCTTTTCATTATCACAAACTGTTAAGAAAACATCTTTTGAAGATAACCTTAGAAGGGCAGTAGCTGAACGCCGTCGTGTGATTGAAATGGCTTCTGGAGAGGATGACCATGATTCAGAATCAATACTTAATAAAAGTTGTCATAATACAACGTATACAGAGAATAATACCAGAACTCTAAAACAGCAAGCAGAAATTGTTTCATCAAATGAAAAGTCATTTAAAACGGCTGCAGAAAAACTACATTTTCAGACATTATCTGGTATTTTACCAACGAACAATACTATTCCTCCACCGGAAAATTTTAAAGATTTCGATAACTCCATGAACAAAGTTCATTGTAATACGGAACTAAATAATGACAAAGTTCCAATAGCAACTAAACCAAAGCTTCCATTAACACAACCATCTTATACTAAAAACGTAAACACAATTCAAGGTTCAAGAACTATTGAACAAAGTAAACTTAATTCGGTAAACTCATTGACCAATATCAGTTGTAACGGTGCTCATAAAACTGATTTAATGCGAGAGATCTCGACATTTAAACAGAACACTGTTACGGAAACGAAAACGAGTTCTGGAAAATCTATTGGTTATCCTAGATCCACAACACCCTCGTCGCTTCAATCATCATCTTATTTTATTTCTGAGGTTCCTAAAATAATGTGGTCTACCAAATAAAGTCATTTCAAGAAAGTACAGTAATTTATCTGTTGATTAAATTTCTTTCCTGTTACTATGTTAATGAAACAGATTGTTAATACGTGCTCAGATTCTTATTATCGTACAAAACTAAGTACTTTTCAGAAAGTCTATTGTTTTTTTTTGACAAATGATAAATTGGTCAAGTTGTAAAAAGAACAAAAACAGAAACCAAATTTAGGCTTGTCATAACATAGAAAATTGTTAACAATATCCAATTATTTAGTTTTCATAGAGTGAAAATGCTTAGTATTCATTTGTTCATCCAAATAGGCATGTTCATTGGGTTAACTATTTTAGCGTTCATTTCTTATTTAACAATTATTCATATCTATGAAATGTTTTACTAAACAATAAATACCACATACCACATTATTGAGAAGTGTGAAATAATCTCGACAATTGTTCATTCATGTAGTTACTCATCTTAATTAAAACCACACATTAAGCTGTACTGATCTCTTGAAGTAATGATTAATATCAAAAATAACGGATTTTCATTCGTTAATGATAAACAATAATGTATTTTTTTTCAAATTCAAATAATTGTTTATTAAAAGAATATAATTTTAATTAAAATGAAATGAACAATAATAAAAACAGTAAATGATTTTGTTATTTCTAGATAATTTATTTACTTTTCATATTAGTAAATGTCAGTTCAGCTAACAACTAAATTACACCAATGCAATAGAATCAGCAAGAAGGTTTATATATATATATATATATATATATATATATATATATATATATATATATATATATATATATATATATATATATATATATATATATATATATATTTAAAGTTAACAATTCAATGCAATTGTTTTTTACATGTGAAATATCGTAAAATGTCATCCAAAACTATATAATTAACATAATTCTACTGGCTGCTCCAATATATGTGCTACTTTTTGTTATCCAATTACATTAAAAAATAAGATGAAAAAACAAGCTGTCAGAAATACACACCTGACTGGTATAATCGATAGCATTCAAATAGTGGAATGGCATTCAGTTGACACTCAGTCCAATACACCTAGGCCTATATATGGTGAGACTTTAGTGGCCCTGGATCTGACTCCACTAAAAGTGGACAAATGATTGTTATTGAATGATTGCTGTCGAAATATGCATCCTGACTATTCTCGTATATTATTTTCGACCTAAATCGCGTTAGTGAGTAACGGGATTATATAAGCCAAATACGAGAATGGATTTTGAATATGTATATTTCATGCATTCATTGATTTGAACAGGCAATCAGGGAGAAGAAACAAAGAATGAAGAACGAAGCCGATTGAAAAAGCGAAGAGAAGAGAGCGAAGTGAAATGAAGTTGAATAGAGAAGGCGTGTGAGCCAACTCGATTTAATCAAGTATTAGCCGATATTTATAGTTACACAAAAATAAACTACAGAAATGTGATGAGTAGGATAAGATGTACACACACATATGCTCATATAAAAACAGTCAGGGTTGATTAGTGAACGATTATCAAGGTCAACACGTGACTCAAGAAGAATGAATAAATTAACCTGTCCAGAAGCCAGAATAAGTTATGTGGGGTTGACATAGTAACCGATACTATAAGATTATAATTTATGTACGAGCCAATCAGTAGCGTCTGAGGGCTTTCAAGGTCACGGTGCCAATTTCTGTACCCGATGCTCACATACGATCGGTCCACAGCGGATATTAGAGAAAACGTGATAATTGAGCGGCTACAACAAATTGAACAACTAAGAAGTTCCTTTATTTGTAATTGTGCCAATGAAATGACTTGTAGACCTTGCGCAGACTACCATGATGATGCTGCTTTTCAATGTAATATATGTTGGAGCAGGAAATCTGCTGGAATAGGAACTCTTTTTGCTCGATCCAGATTGAGACTTAAGTAAATTATGGTAATTTTTGCCAATTGGATAATAGAAGCATCAGTAACACTGGCTGCAACATTCGCAGATGTTACTGAAGCGTTGGTTGTGCAGTGGCATGGGTTTTTTAAAGATATATGCTCAGTAAAAACGACAAGCTTACACGAGTCCTTTGGGAGAGTCGTGAGAATCGTTGAAATAGATGAAACAGTTGTCAGAAAACGAAAATTCAACAGATGAAATAGTGTAAAAAAGTTAAAGAAGTAATTATTCATTTTTTAAGTAGCAACTTTGATGAGTTAACGATTTATAGAATTCGTAAGCACTTTTCAAGCCAGTAATATCATGTACCAACGAAAATGATGTCCAAGCCTTCTGCTAGTTAATTCAAAGCTTCTAACACATCCCTATAGGTTTTCGTCACAGAGCACATCAAGATAATTTATACTGTTAAGAATAGTTCCATATGTAATTATTTCAATCTGAGAACAAAAAATAGTGACTAACAAAAGGTCCTAAAACAAGATATCACTAGATGGAAATCATAAAACGTGGAATGTATTTTTAGATGAACAATATATACTGTCAGAAATACTCGTTAGTCATACAATATCGTTCATACATACGTCACGTAATTTCAAGGAATTCGCTCTCTTTCATGAAGAGACAAAAATACATTAATCGCGTCGTAATGTTTGTTCTGTAATGCTTCAGCATGATTGGACATACACTTAAAGTGGAAATTAAATAGTGTACTTATCGAATAAAACGGTACGGTTCCTCAAAAAGGTTCAACAGTGAGTGGTTAAATTCCTATTCAAAGAGAAGAAATTGCCTGGGGGACGGTATTATGATCACAAATTATGTGAATGTAGCGTTCTACGTATCAATATATATCACGTAAAAAAGACAGATTTCAGAAATATTTAAATGAAGATAATTTACAAACAAATAGCAATCTGAATAATAGCTAGTAACAACTGCACTTAAACAAGGGTTCAGTGAGTACGAAGAATTCGAAGATAACCGTTACAATTATTAGGCAGTGGTCATAACATAACAATCAAGGTTCATTGCACATTATAAGCTGCAATTCTTCGAAATTTAGGTCGACTACTGAATTTGTTAAGTAGTATATTGTGACGTACGAAATAATTAACTAAGCGAGAAATAATGACCCTAGTTACTAACGCATATACCATGTCCATGAAAACAGTGTATATTCAGTTAGCATACAAAATCATACAAAGGTTTATTAGTTTTCCCTTCACTTGACGTTAAGTGTGGGAACAATTCATGTCATTCATAATTTTGAAACTATCAAAATCAAAATTATCAGCGTCCTTGTATTTTAGCTCATAATTAGTGATCATTGGTAACAGAGAAAAAATGGGAAACCAATTTTTGCAAATACTGTCGAAAATTTGACTTATTAGATCGCTATACGAGAAAGACTGATCACTTCAATCCTAGTTTGAAATTTACATATTCATTCACGTCTATTAAAGATCCGTTTAACGTTGATACCTTTGGATTGACTTGAAGTATAAATGTTTAACGGTCTATTGATGAATTTATAATAAATGTGAATTTTAAACTGTAAACTTTAAAAAAGCTTGGACCAGATTGCCAGGCGAAACGTTGGATTCACTTCAAATTCTTTCTCTGAGATTTTACAAATCCATTCTTCCTCTTTAATGTAAACAGTACTGTTTGATTTGAAGGAAAATCGAGATAAACCAAAAAGGAAGAAACATATTTCGACTACTTGTTATCATTTTTATCATTAGTTCACGGGCGCCCATTTCAGCCTTATGATTTCGTTTCAAAATTGTTCACAAACACTTACGTTTAAAAAAACAAGCATATTTATGACATTTTGAAAAACGTGTTTTCACAATCATAATTTTGATTTAACCTTACCAGTTGTGTTACAGATGTAGGGTTAAAAATAAAACATCGTTCTAAGCTTTCGAGACAGTGTAAGCAATGAATATTTGTTGTGAAAAAACTTGCGAAGTAAATCATTATGCCTGGGTATTAACAAATAAATGTGTTTCTGCTATAGCGAACTAATTTTATTATATGATGCTCTTTATTGAGATTTTATTACTGGTTCATGTTCGAAATTCTCTCTTACGGTCTCAGTTGTATGATTTACTCTAAGGCTATTGCATTACTGCGGAACTGTAACAGAGTCACAATTTCGATGACGAAGATTTTCAAAAAAATGTTCCACCGTTAGTGAAAAACGCGTCTAGGAGTATAAAAAAGTATTTGATGCATACTTATTAAGCTAAGGTGCTCCTTGACGTATAGCTTGTAGGCATGTTTAAAAAATATATCGATATCAAAACTGGTGATTCAAACTATTCAATAAAACATTATAGTTTTATGCAGTTTTAGTGTTCACTAGTCTAAGCAAGGTAACTGAAAGACAAAATGAACGACAACAGTCAATATTCATTAACTTTTAATTTTTATAGTCAGTTCTTTTATTTCAATTATTTTGAATGTTTCGTTCTACGCGTTTAATATGTACGTCATGTTTAAACCGATACTCTCTCTCTCCCTCTCTCTCTCTCTCTCTATATATATATATATATATATATATATATATATATATATATACTCAGGAAAACCCAGGATATAGTTCACATGAAAACGAAAATATAAAACACACTCCTATCACATTGTAAAATTAAAAAAATAGATAAAACGGTGATGACAAGTTGGATAAACAACGAAAATGTTCTTAAATAATCAATAATTGTGGAAATTTAATTTTTCCACAAGTAGTTAATCAGTGAATTAAGACGGAATAATAATTTTCAGAAACAAAAATATAAACAACGAATAATTTCTTCTTATGTGGGTAAACGAATTTATATGCATCGATGTTGTTCGGCTTATAAAACTTGCCTAAGTACTTTATGAAATACGAATTGAAATTGCCAGTTAGCTAATTATTACAAGTAATCTATATATAAGACTATGTTTGCAAGGCATGTTTTAATGTATGTGGCATTTTGAAATTTTTTAGTGCGACCATATTTAAGGAGTCAGTTGCTCAATTTACTGAAATGTATATCCGTAATGAAATTGTTTCCTCCTGTCACAACGATTTTCTTTTTGATACTTCAGAAATTTGGTAGACAGCAACTGTTTTAAAATGGCGATAACTTTAAGTGTGTTTTGATAAATTGGGACCTGATTAGCTTAAGTACCAATATTTGACAGAGCTTTCAACTCTATGTTAAATATTCCCTGGAGACCTATATTTTTTTATTCTACATTAGCTTGCTTTTCCCGTCCACGTACTGATTTTGTAAATAAAATTTGAGATGAATAAATTTTAAAACTTCGTTCAAATCTATTTTTTGACTGGTCTGACACTGTGTCTATATTACAGATAAAATCACCAAATAATCAATAAGTCAGGCTTATTCCAAACAAAGATGCCTAGCCATTTATGTTTTTCTCCAGTTGTCTAGTTTTAAACGTCAGGTATAGGTTGCTGAATATAGCTAAAGATTTACAAGATCGATAGCTCTCACTGAAATGCACCTTATAGCAAAGGGTGATCCTGTGTTCACAGATATCAATTTACGATATATGGAATAACGTAAAACTAAAGTTGGAATAAAACACCTTCCTTCTCAAAGGACTATCACAGAAGCATAATGAATATATCATTGACTAACAAACAGAGATAATAAGAAAAACTGAATTTCTAAACATGAAAGCTCATATTTAACTTTTAAAACAGGTTTCAAACCAAATATTTATATTAATTCTATTGCCATTAAAATTTCCTAAGCTAAT